AGTTATCACTTATAATGGATTGTGTGTATAAAGAATACTCTCAAGTTATTACTAAGGTTTTTAAATGAAAGATTTTTTTGTAACATACTAGGAATGACATGAAAGGGTTAAACAAAAGTAAGGGGTCATGACCTAATATGAGAAATGTTACTTAATTTGGATATTTTTGCTTTTAATTAACTAATTTCAATGCATGTATTTATCTAATTTTTCATCACAAGTTTGAATTTTTATACTCTCTCAGTACCAGTTTTCTTAACTTCACTAAGGTATTTTCTGGGATTCATCTACCGGCCCATTAACAGTGAACTTAGAAATTTACATTGTTGAGGATTTTCATTTGTTAGTGCTGTAATTTAAATCTTAAATGTTATTTCTCATATGTTCTTAACAATTAAATAATTTTTCAAAGGTATTTGTTTGATTTCCCACCTATTTAATGTTTGGAAATTGAAAGTATGCTTTTCATTGACTACAAAATTTCAACAGTAAATACAGTACTTCAAAACTGAATTGCCACAAAATTTTAAATTAACACTGTAATTGATTTTTAAAAATTCCATTCATCAATGTTGGTTATAAAGAATAACAAACTGCATGTAATCTTGAGGCATATCGACTCTTGCTGTTCATTAAGTAGGAATTACGAAGTACTGTGCATACGTCCTTGTGAAATACGATGACTAGGTGCTAACCAGTGTAAACAGAAACGTAAGTCATATTTGTTACAGAATAAATATGAAATTATTAAAAGGTTGTAATGTGGAATAAAGCAAAGCGAATTATGTGAAGAAATGAATATAACTAAATTGACAATTGCTACCATTTAGAAGGGAAAAGACAAAATACTCGAATGTGAAAGTCAAATGCTAAAAAGCTTAGAAAATCAGCACGTGATGAATTAGATCAAATATTGTTAAAATGATATCGCAATAGAGACTTAAAAACACAACTAATACTGATACTATACTGCAGTCAAAAGCAGAAGAATTGGTACTCTCTTCCAATTTGCTTCCTGAGTCTAAATGCAGTAGAAGTTGGTCAAGATATTTAAGAAAATACAGTAGAACCTCGATTATCCAGACCTCTATTATCCGGATTTTCGATTATCCGGATTGTTCAAAATAAACAAAAATTTTACGAATTTGCTGATTTGCACTTGTCGAATTACGACACTGTTTATGTGCGTGATGAAATGCATAACATTTTTTGTTTCAACAACGTCTCACCCAGCACAGTGGTCGTAAACTCTTAAATATATTTTGCATCGTAATAAAAATATAACTTGACATACGTATTTATAAATAATTTATACTCTAATTACATCATTTCTATAACCAAGGGCGGCGTAAGGCACGGGCAACGTGGGCCACCACCTATGCCTTGCGGTCCGAAGGGCCTCGCGCCTCGAAGGTTTATGCATTACTTAAAAGCCAAGAATGCAACGAAAAAATTTTACTCGCCATAAAACGATAAATAGTTTGTCAAATTTTTATTCATAAAAATGCAGTTTCAACTGCTTTTTATTTTATAAAATCCATCTTCTTGAGCCGCCAGAGGGCCTTTTAAANTAAATTATTAAACATAATTTAAAATAAAATTATACTAAAAAAACTAATTTTGTTGTTTTTTTTAATTACCTTATTAAAAATGCCTTTTTCAATTGTATAGGGGTCGCGGGACACTTGGCTTTTATAAAAAGGGGTCACCACCCGAAAAAGGTTGGGAACCATTGGTCTAGTTGTAATAGATTACAGCATTTTTGTTAAAGTTGCTGAATCTACAAAATAAATGAATTTTGGAATATTAAAAGTTTGCAAAAAAGGAGGATAAAACAAGAAAAATTATATGAGTTAAAATTTGGGGTGTGTAGATTAAAATAAAAAGAGGGAATAAAACTAAGTGCTGATTCTATCAAAGTACTTTTCCACCTTCTAAACACAGAAGGCTTAGATGTGAGTGAACAATCTCAGGACAGTCTATGTACTATTTGTTTAGAAGTAATGTTAATTTGTATAGAAGTAGGTACATTTTAGAAATTTCCTTAATGACTCTTTTTGGGTATTAGAAGCTGAATACCAGATGGGAAGACAATAGTCAATTAACAAGTGAAATTTAATAAAGAATATTGTGTTTAACTAAGTTTTAGAGGAAATGTGTTGGCAATTATGCCACATGATGTCCAGCATACTGCCAATTCCTTAACAATCTTGTTGAAGTGATGTTTGAAGGTTAATTTATTATTGAAATGAACACCGAGGTCTTTGATACAGTTGACAATAATAAGGCCATAATTGTAAATTTTAAAGGTAAATTTAGATTAAGTCTTCATTAGGGAAAAGAATATGGTAACAGTTTTACAGAGATTAAGAGATTTAGAGGTTTAATTTAGAGGATAAAATACTGTATATAGATTTTGCAATATTTGGGTCACTGTTAATAATTTTAATGTCATCTGAATAGGCTAAAATAGCAAAGTGAGTTGATCAAAAAGTTTATTTGTGTAGGATATAAAGAAAAAATTACTGAGGATAGAACCCTGCTTATTCCCACAAGAGGAGAAAAGTCATTGAAGTATAGTCATTTATTTTTATTTTGTAAGTGTGAGAGAGGTAATAGTTGTTTAATCAGGATTAATTGGGTTTATATCAAATTCTTTATAGCAGTTCATTTGGTATAGCTGAATTGATGGCTTGGCAATTGCTTAAATATACTTTATATCAGAAGTTTTTTAAGCCTGGTTATTATTTTATGCTGTGTGCTCAAGAGGTTAGTAATGATGAAATAGTGGGTATGCTCTTATGTTGATTGAAGGATATTTTTCCTGTTATGAGAGAGTATATGCTGTTATAGATGCAGGCTTCAAATATTTTCAATGTAGTTGGGAAAAGGAAAATTGATGCAGCAAGTCTTGCGGTCCTTTTTAGGAATTGGCCATAACACAGCAAATGTCATTCATTAGCTACAAATTTATTGTTTATAATCAATGGAAACATACTAAAAAAAATGGAAGATAGAGCAGACTTTATTTTCTTGTAAAAATGGAGGGGATGCTGTCGGGACTGTAGGTCTGGGAAAGAAAAGAGGAGATGAAAATATTGCTCCTTGAAGGTAAGAGAAAATATTGATGCTGAATAAATTTCAGATAGGAGAGTCATAAAATAAGCAGGAGTAAGTCAGTATAAAAAAGATGTGTAAATCTATGTTTAAGGTGATTATACATGTAAATCTGGCTGTCATCTATATTGTATTTATGGATTTGAGTTTTGTTTTTAGAAAACCTGAGTATGAATTGCCAAAAATTGCTGAGATCGTGTGTGAAAAAAGGTTAAATTGATTCATGTGATCCACAATTCAGTGATCAAGTAACAAAGAATTTAATATAGAGTTATGTATTTCTTTTTAATCATATCAAAATTAAAATAAAAAATTTATTGATGAATTCAATGCCATGCAATGAAATTTATGCAATGGTAAAAAATAATTATTTATTTATTAAGTTTTTTGTAGATAGTTGTATGACTGAGGCAGTTAAGGCAGCAACTTACTGCTCTTGGGACCTGGGTTGAAGTCTGGATCAGGTACCTCAGGAAATTTTTAGGCAAGCTTGTCCCTCACTTTCTGGCTGCCCTTCCAATGTGGGCCAGGCCAAACTCGTGATAGTTATTGAAAAAAGGCTATCCTAATATCCAAAGGATAAAAAAAAATAGTAGTAACCTTTGTAAGAAGTAAGTTTGGCTTAATCCACATTTAAGAAAAAAGATGATCTGAATTTTAAAATATTAAGAATAGCATGTGCTAAATATTTTACTATGGATTTAATAAACCAATGGTTTCCAGACTTTTTCCCACAATCCAATTTGAACATTAGTAAATTTTCAGGACCCAGCATTGAATATAAACACACAAGAATTAATTTGATAAAATCATTTTTGTTTAACTTTTTATTTCAGTCTTTTCCTTCAAAAAATAAACATAATAAAAAAAGACAAATTAAATTACAAAATTATTTAATTTAGTTATTTCAATGGGTTAGCATTCTGTCACCAGGGCTGGTTCCAGTAGATGTGCAATGCATGCATGAAGCAGCCAAATTCCTGGGGTGGCCAATAGTTCACTTTAAAAAAAATAAAACTCAAATGTAATTTAATATTATTTTAATATAGTAGTCGACAATGAAATAGTGTGATGATTGCAAGATGATTGATGTTAGAAATAACCAAGCTTTATTTCTGTTAGGTCTTATGATTAAGTTACTCATTGTGAACAGCCCTTTATTCTCATACCATTAACCTTAAGGCAATACTTACACTATTGTTTTAATTATTGATGGAACCAAAGAAAATTTAAATAAAAAAACAAGATAAGCATGGACATTATTAATTTAAATATTAAAATCTAAATTAATTTTTATATGCACATATAAAAATTAATTTAGATTTATTTATACAGTATATTGTATGTATATACTAGATAATAAAAATTTCTTTAAATTAATTTCATTATAATTTGCAAATTCTACTTTATGGTGGCACGCTAAAATATTACTTTGAACAAAGGCGCCTGATTTAAATAACATTAAAATAAAAATATATCAAGTATTTTTATAGATTTTTTTTTTATCCCTGTCGATTACATGAAACATACCAGTAGACTCTGATGGGTTGGGTTAAGTTATGGCCCGCGATCAGCATTGAGGAGTGGCCAAATATCTTTAGCATGCAGGCGGTTAACATTCGAAAATCGGCCCTGACTGTCACAAAGCTCATTAAATCAACATTCAGTTTATAAACTAGTTGTTTAATAGTTTAATTCAGTTTACATTATTTGAATGAATAAATGAATAAATCTTAAAATAGGTAAATAACTAAACATTGCTGAATTTCTTTTAACATTATTCAGGATGGTGATGAAAGTCTTGATAAAACAGCCATGAAGAAATGTAAAATATTTAATTAATAAAATTTAATTATTGCTAAAAAGAATTTAAAATATTCTAGGCGATATTTTTTGGTGGATTAGACCATAAGTTACGAAAGGAAGCTTGGCCTTTTCTTCTTCATTATTACAGTTTTCAATCGACATTTGATGAAAGAGAACAAGTTCGTAATGATAAATATATAGAATATCAAGCCATCAGAAGGAAAAGGTATTTTTCTATTTAGTTGTGAATCTATATTGTCAAATTTTATTTAATATTGTTTATCTTTATAAATTTTTTGCTACATCACCTAATCTAGGTATATAACAAAAAGTATCAATGTCCAAATCGTTTCCTCTTAATGTTTTAAAGAGTAAATAACAAAATATCAAATTTACAACACAGTTCTGCTTGGCTAAAAATTCAAAAACTTCTAGATACAGTAATTCAAATAGGTATTTTTAAATACTATTAGGTAGATATTCTGCTTTTTCAGCAAATTGGTAAATGTTAAATTTGAATTTAAATTGAAGATATTTTTATAAAGCATACAATTTAATGTAAAAAAGCATTTGAGAAAATTAGTAGAATAAAAAGATACCAATTCTGAGAATGGAAGCTCAATGAAAAACAATTTTTCATTAATAAAGATCTTGTGTAAGTTTAATACAAATGTATATGTATATGGAATGCCCACCTATTGGATATAATGTTAATAATAACTAGATTGTCTTGTGCTAAAACAATTTTAACCACAGTTTTCTTATATTCTAACTAGTTTAACTACATCTGACTTAATGTAAGAAAACCTAATTGTAAATTTAATATTACATCTATGGCTAGTTTTTATTATAATTCATAACAGAAGATTTTATCCTACAGTTAAAAACTTGCTAATTGAGTTAAGAAATTTTATTATGTTTTATTAAATATTTTTCATGATTTAATTAACTATCTCATCATCAAATATAGCAATTTAAAAAAAAAACAACACAACTAAAACTCAAATTTTGGTTGTGTTATTTTTGTATTAAATCTCAAGAAACATTTAATTCAGGAAAAATAAACGTCTTAACTTCATTTTCTTAATTGTATACAAATTATGAAATCTAAACTTGAGAAAGAAAGTTTTATTATGAAAATTTGAATGTAAAAACTTCTATAAAAAAGTAATTACAGCTAACTTGTTTATATATTTCTTTGCATAGAAATGAAAGATTTAAAAATTGTTTATTAAATACACTACAGAATTTTCATTAAAGAACATGATTTATTTTCTAACCATATTTATAATATCAGTAATATGCATTACAAATAAACCTAATTACTTGTTACATTAATGTCATCATCAATTTGAATTAATTACAATAATTAAAGATGATTCTTAAGTATAAAACTGTAATTGAATATGTTCAGCATGTTTGTACTTTGCCGCGATCAGAAAAGGTGTTTAGCTAAGCATATTCAAATTGTTAATCAAAATTTATTTAAATTTAGGGATCACATGTCTTTAGAAGAAAAGGAAGTATTTTGGAGAAATGTACAATGCACGGTCGAGAAAGATGTTATTCGTACAGATAGATGCAATCCTTATTTTGCTGGAGACGACAATCCAAACATTGAAATAATGAAGTAAGAGGTTAATTTCATATGTAAAATATAATATATTTATAAGTTATTTAAATTCGGGTTTTTGCATGTTTGTAAAACCCTAAACAATTTATATCTTGTATTATCTTTCTATTACTGTATTTTTAAGCTAAAACAAGGTATTTACAATTTATTGACTGAATTAACATAAATCATAACAAATATGGGAAAACAGTTTTGTAACAAATGTGGTTTCTCACAAAGTCACAAACATTTGAGAAATTTAATAAACTTCAACATGATTGCTTTTATTAGCCTACAACTGATTTCTTGTCAAAGTTTTTGTAGCATTTCTTGATAGACTAAAGCCATTGACTCCATTATTGTTTCTTCTCTGTAATGTTGGTAACCTTCTTTGTATAACTTGTTTGTTTTTTTGTGTATCCTCAAAGAATATCTCATAAGTTTGAATAGATTATGTGTCTTAATCCAGTAAGGAAATTGCAGACATGCTTTATATTTGTGTTTAAAGATATATTTTAGATATAAAATCTACTTGGTTCTTTTTTATGTTGACTTTGCAGTTGTGAAATTAAGAGCAATTAAGTCATAATTTTAGTTTTATGTGATACATTTTACTAAGCTAAAATAATTAAATTTATATCCCTCATTAAATTGATTTTTAATTCTAATTGATTTGTAAGATACTTTATAGATTAATACAGTTACTGTTAAACTTTTTCTATAATATTTACAGTCAGCTTTTCCTTTTAATATTTACTCATAAACATTTGTAATGTATAAACTATCATTAGTATTAATATGCAATCAACATATTAAAAGGCCAATGCAAACTAGGCAGTGCCATTGCTTTCGACATGACATTGGAGACAAATTTTATGGTCACGTGACTAGTTTGCTTTGACTATCAGGCAAATTTGCCACATGTAATATTACTCATGATGTAGTTCTACAGAAACAATAAGCATTTCCTCTATCCCTCTATGAACTATTGCTCAGTAAAATGCTTATTTTGTAAAATGATGAGGACTTTAATAGTTGAAATTAGCTTCAGCTACTTCCCTTTGTTGTCTGTCAGATATTTAATAAAAATCAAAATTGAGGACCTTCAGATATATAAATTTCAATAAAATAATTGATATTGTTACTTCTACGAAAATCTTTCAAATAGCTCTGTTTTGTAATCCCAGCTTAACCAAGACGTGGCCAAAATGTGAAGCACAAATGCATGCCTTCTTTGTAGCCTACAGTGCATATTCTTTTCTCACAAACTTTCAAATGTGCACAAGTGTCATCATTCACCACCCAAAAAATCAAACTTTTTCAATCCTAGAGGCATCAAATGGACCACCTACTTTCCATTGAAGGGTGATGTAGAGTGGCGTTGAGTTGATGGACATCAATCAGACAATGATTGAACTAAACTCTGTGTCCAGTTTGCTTTGATATTGCCTAGTTTGTACTGGCATTAAAATTTTTGCATCTAATTCTGCCAGAAATGAAGCAACATGTTACATTTCTGAACGAATAGATTAACACAATATTGATATAGACTTGTATGCTTATTTAGATTGTAAACATTTAGTAAAGCAATGCATGATGATTAACTGGCATGTCTCATAAAGTTACTTACACTTTTTAAAAAGTAGTTCACTACATTAATTTTATATAATTATAAACTGGCATAAAAATTGTAAATACAGTAAAAGTTTATTAATCCTGCATCAAATTGAGTACAGTCAACCCCCCTATAACACTGTTGATTATTCCGTTTTATATGAATTCCATGTTGTATGATTTTAAACACGTGATTTTTACAGATTAGATTTTACAAATGCGTGTGCCAGGCTGTGAATGGCTCACATATTTGTAAAATCTAAGTGACTCATACAACATGGAATTCATATAACACGGAATAATGAACAGTATTATAGGACAATTTGAATTTACTACTGTAAATTCAAATTGTCAGAATCTATGTTACAAAAGTCTGATTTGCAGAGTAGTACAAATTTAAAGAATGCTTTGCATTTTAATAATGTTGTGGTTTGTATGAAACTAACATACTAAACGATACTTGTCTGTGACTTACGTTCACCCTTCCAGCAGTACAAAGAAATGTCTCAGTACCATTTGTATATATTTCTACAAATACAGGTAACCCCAGTATAACATGGGAGTTAGGTTCCAAAAAATTGCCATGTTATGCGCATCTGTGTTATACGAAACAAAGAACTAGTGCGAAAAGAGGGGTTAGGTTAAAAAATTAAGAAACATGCTGTTAAATCCTTATTTAAATTGGATTTATTATTATTTTTTTTTTATGGGTAAAATACTTATTATTTAAGTCAGTGATTCTCAACCACTGTGCCGCAGCACTTTAGTGTGTTGCGAGATTTTTGAAGTGTGCCTCCACTGCAAATACCCATACATAAGCGACATCATACAAGTACAGTCGACCCCCCTATAAGATCATAGATACGTTCCATTCTTTAGGAATCCGATTTCTTACGAGTCCTTCCAATCACAGCCCGACACGTGTGAAGTTTATGGACTACGGCTGATTGAAAGGTTTTCTTCCATAAAATTAATCGATTCTAGACTAATCCGACTCAACATTTTCAAAATACGTATATTATTTTTGGGAATAATTCGTATAAACTACGCTATAAACAAAAAATTGTAGGATTACTTACTGAGTGTGTACCATTCGACATCGCCATTGCTAAAGCTTGTTTTCGTCACGGAACAGCTCAGCAAACAGCGGGCGATTTCTAATAACTTATTTTTCTGCAAAAACTTTGTCGAGCTTTGGGGACATCATTAATATAAATAATTTTAATCGCCGTTGAATAAGAAATGTTTCTTTCACAAGAAATGTATAAAATTACAGTACTGTATTAGACTTACGGTACCTAATTTCATACTGTACAGACGATAGTTAGCGTAAAATCTCCGTAGTGTGGCGCCACGTGGCAAAATATATATATATAATTATAATAAAGTTACAATAAATTAAGTTAATATATAATTATATATACAGAACCTAATTTATATATAATTATATGTACAGTACCTAATTTATGTATAATTATATGTACAGACGAAACTAAACTCAATTTATTCGCCTAAACGTCCGTAGCGTGGCGCTACGGACGGCGGGAAAGTAGTTCGGCTGCCCGATGACGTTTTACGTA